CACGCTGCGTGAAACATGGCGTCTTTTGTTGGAAAAACAAATGGTGGCGGTGAAATAGACACTGGCGGGAAAGTGTTGCTATGGTTTCCAACAAAGGAATCACCCTTGTGGAACTGACGGACGAAGTGACATGTGCTTANGATATTAATGATTCATACCATTACATGTATGGCGCATTTACCGCCAGGGTGTATCGGTCAGGAGAAAACAACCAGTTCTTCAAATACCACCTTACGTATTGGACCCATAAACTACTCACCTTTGATTGAAATCTCTTCCCTTTCTTCCTTCTTTGGCTGTTAACGGTCTTTTCCATCGAAAGACAGCTGTTTCTTAAGCGATGTCTTCGTCGATCACATGAATAAAACCATCGTCGAGTCAAACAGCTGTGTCAAAGGTTTGGCATTTCTCTTCGTCCTCTTTGAATTGGCGAGCTATGTCCGCTCGAAGCAAATATTTTTGGCGCAAAGTGAAATCTACGGTGTACCAGAGCGTGTCGTCGAGTTTTAAGTAGTCTTGACCCTTTGCTTCCTCTGTCTCTAATTAAAAGAAGAATCTATTCATTACGCCATTTAAAACAGTTGTCTTCTCGTTACGTGGTTCAATTCAGATCTGAAAAGCTCACGCTGCGTGAAACATGGCGTCTTTTGTTGGAAAAACAAATGGTGGCGGTGAAATAGACACTGGCGGGAAAGTGTTGCTATGGTTTCCAACAAAGGAATCACCCTTGTGGAACTGACGGACGAAGTGACATGTGCTTAAACAAACAATACACGAGATCCTCGGCTTTAGCGGCGAAACTATGCTTTTAGACCTTTTACAGTTCGAGTTATAGTAAAAAGGACCACATAAAACATTTATTGTAACTTCGCTGTTTCTGGTATTGAGTCTTCCTGTTCAAGGAAGTTTTAGCGAAGCCTCGGGAACGGACTCTCAGGAAGGATAAAAATAAGGATCGAATTTAATCGTAGAATTATTTTTCCTTGGCTCCTAATCTCTCGCACATTTTACTGCCGGTTAGAAAGACTGGTCCCTGTAGTTTGAGCATATTTTTAAAAATAAAAGGCAAAAGAAAACATCAAAAGGGAAGAGCTTCAGACGGCCATCGATCACGCACAAGCGTGACTGGCGCGAGCGGTGACTCGCACTTGGCCTGTCATCACCAGACGATGTACATGACGGACACTGCTAATACTTATAACACTCCGTTCTTACAACAGCATCAATGTGGGTTTTGTTTTCAGTCAATTAAGAATACGCATGCGCATTAGGGTTTAAATAGTAAACCAGCGTTTTAACGTGGGCAAAGTAAAGGGCAGTTTACAAGGGCGGAAGTGGCGATTTTGTTGATGCCGCTGAATAGTGCGTGTCATGTATGTCGCAATTTCAGCCCGATTTTACATCAGATAGAAGGGCTGACCTTGCTTCTGCCGGCTCGATTTTAAGTTCTTCGCAGCCTCTCACGGAAAATTCGATGACGATCGAAATTTAGTTTTCCTGGGCCTTGCGTAATAAAACACTTGTCATAAAGATAAAGAAAGCTTGCCCAAAAATCGCCGCCATAAACCCCACAACTGCCCCTAGTCATGTGACCAACCGCGCGACAAAATCACCACAAGGGAGTTATTCCCGCAATTTTACACCCCCGCTCCACTGACTGCCGTCCGCCGATTGAAGAGGCTTGCTTAGTTTCTCTCTTTTCTTACTGCAAAAAAAAAACCTCCAACTACAGATATAAACTAGCAAAAAGATCTATTTCCACTTCGTATAATTGCACTATCGACAAAATATCGGCTGTCTAGAGTCGTTGGTGTTCGTTACAAGCTGCGTTTGTCTTCTATAACTTTGAAGTTTGCGACCCGTGGGCGGGGTTACTCAAACAGTTTCATACGGAGAGGCTGATAGAAAAGGTATAGACTGTTCACAGTCCCCTATTTTTCCGTAAGATCATCGAGATCGAGCGCTTTGCGTTACGAGCTGCCGTCTTAGATGAGTGTCAAAACTACTTAGGGGGCGGGGGCGGTTTGGGAGGAAGCGAGAAAAATATTTTTT